GGCCTCGTCCGAGCTCCCCGATACCATCTCTTAATTATGTTTGCCGAAAACCACTTAATGAGCAGAGCTTCAGTGCCCTCCCTGAGGCACCTTGCACTCAGCAGCCTCCCCAGCGCCGACCTTGGGATGTCACAGCTTCACCAGCATTGAAGAGGTCACCGGCTTTTAATGCTCTACCTTTGCCAACCTCGAACAGATAAAATCACTTAGAGTTGGAATCTGCTCCCACTGTGATCAGCAATGATTGCAGCAGAAGCTGGGCCTCTGCGAGCATGACCCTTTGGAGCCAGTATCTTCCAGAGATAACATGCAACATGGGGGAAGACAGCTTCAGAAATAAATACTCTTTGACATTTGCTAGATGCATTATATGAAACATGTGCCATGCCTTGTGACACATGCGAATATCTTGTGAAAGTAGAGCTTGCAAATTCAGCAACTGAAAATATCCGCTGATCTTCCCTTCCCTTTGTCTCCCAGAGTATTTTTTACCCCAGTGCAAAGCAGGTATAAAATGCGATTTGTTCCTTTTATAGTAATAGAGAGGACAACCGTGGAGGTAGGACAGAGACAGGAATCCTTCTCGACAACCTCAGTGATGTTTTTCAGCAGCACTCGGGTTTACTTCACTATCTGATCGGCCAGAATCCTCCTCCTGGATGAGATGTGCTTTGGGAAGGCGCTTGGCAGAGGAACGATGTTTTGTTGCTCCAGCAGGACTCGGGGGTTTCCTAGTCCTTTAGACGTTTCAGAACTTGCAGCACTCACACCCAGTGACTAAGGGAGCCAAAATGAGGAGCATGAAATAAAAAAAGAGCCTCCCTCTCGTGCCTCCACCGAGCAGGAAACATCCCTATCAAGAACGGACACAGATCCCAGCTGCTAATGCCGGAGCACGTTCACCTCTGGGTCCAGACCTAGTCCAGGCTTCCAGGTTCCTCTGATCCCCCTCTCTCTCTTTTCCCAGAAATAGTTTGCATTGTGATTTTCTCCCATGCTGGAGAAAATAAAAAATGCAAATAGTGTCATTTCTTTTAACTGAGCCAGATAGTCAGGAGCAGGCTTGCTGCCAACACGGTCTGGCACTTGCTTTGTTGAGCACGTATAGAACAATTTATAAATAGTTTTTTTTTTTTTTAATAGAGAATTATACTTTTAAAAATCCTGCGTGGCTGGGGAGAAACCATCTTCAAAAGAGGCTTTAGGCTTCATGGGGAGCAAGGCAGGAACGCCCTGGAGAAAGGGCAGAGGGGCGGCCAAAAGGGAACAGCGATTTCCTTCCACCTCAGGACGAAGCGCTGGGCACTATCAGACACTATCGGCATCCGTCTCCCTGCCCCTAACACTCCCATTAGGTGCTTTTATCAGTCCCGTTCCCGGGAAGCGGGATCGATACATTAGATTTCCTAGAGACAGCGCTGCGAAATGCACAAAGCCTCTGGCAGCCCGAAGCAGCGCTATTGATTTTACATAAATCCTAACTTCCTCGTGGGGCTGGTGGAGGCCAAGGGGGTGATCGGGGACATTACAGCCTGGAAGTGTAAGGGGACCGGGTAAGAGGATGGTTTTGTCCCTGTTTTGGAGGGGCACCGTGTATCGAGAGCCAAGGGGACACCTGGCACGTGTGGACAGGCCTCCTGCCTCCAATGCACGCTCCAAATTCGATCCATCTGGTCACCCAGATGGACTTGGGACTCAACTCCGCCAGCCCCAGGCAGTGGTGGGGAAAACAGGGTCAGGGCCACGGAGCTCCACACACAGCACCAGGGCAGGATGTGACCCACACTTTGGTTGGCCAGGGGTAAAGCGCCCCATCTAGAGAGTGCCAAGCTCAAGTGACAAAGTCCCTCAGGCTGGTGTCTCAGGGGGACATCTCATAACCAGTTTAGGTCAATGAAGAGCCCACCCTTTTGCTGCTTTCAGCAAGCAGCACCCAGCTTTTGCTTTCCAAACTGCGGGTGGTCTCGCGCTTTCTTGCGCCAGCATGAAAAAGGAAAGGGGAAGAGCAAGGCTGAACAAAGCCAAAGAGAAACGAAGCTGCTGCTTTAGCTTCAGGCCCAGCACAATGCTTTAAGAGCAAACAAAAAATGAACCTCCCCCCTTAGGTCTTTCACCTTAATTTGAAAAACAAAATTGCTCCTGGTTGAGCTGGACTGCAAGGCTCTCTCACAGGCAGGAGCTGCTGCTCCACGGATATCCCTGCTATTTGCAGAGCTCCCACCGCAACCTTTGAGCCATGGGATGGCTGCAGTGTTGCAACCGCGCTGCTGTTCACAGCGCCTCAGGCTGCTGAGCACCCGGAGAGCCACGTTGGCACCCAGGAAAGGGATTTTTCCACCCGCATTTAAGAGAAGGGTAACGATATGCTGGGGAGAGGGGAGATTTATGCCCCTTCAGGCTGGGGGTTATGCACCTTCTCCATCGCAGCTACAGATTTGCATTTGCAGCCGCAGGGGAGTTTGTGGAAGGGGGGAGTCGATGCTTTATTGATAGCTAAAAAAGCCGATAGGATGGATGGGCTAATTGCACATTCTTTCCCCCCATTCTCATTTTTATACTCAGGGCAGTAACAAATGCAGGTAAAACACACAGCCAAGCAACGCAGCAAAACCCTTGCAATCCAATCGTGTGACGAGTTCCACAAGCCTCAGTGTGGGAGGAAGCAGCAGGGAAGCCTGCTCAGACCTTTCTTTCATAGACCTCTGCTGACCTCGCCTGTGCCAGGGCAGTGATATTTGTCGCCCGTTTATATTTCTCCCTTACAATATTGAATTTCGGCGCTACTGTTTTACCCTGTCCACGACTCAGTTTCATGGAAATTGCTGGCTTCCCAGGGAAGCATATCCCAATGCATTTGCAAGCACTGAGCTGCTCCCGCACTTCTAAAACATGGAGCTGGTGACGAGGCCACATCAATAGGACAGTCGATGGTGGCAACGGGGGACTGTCCTATAGCTTGGCGCAGCTTCAAGCAATTGGGGGTCTAGGACCTCACATACCATGGCCATGGCAAAGCAGCTCCATTTTACTTGGGGAGGATGTTCCTGCTTTCTGGATAATGGATGGGGGATCTGGGAGGCCTTCAGAGCAGTGAGAGGAACCGCTTAGCACAGGACCTCACAAAGAGGCAAGAGATGGTGAAAACACAGGGAGAGGTGAACTCAGCTCTCCAGCCCGTAACCTGTTTTTTCTCCGTAGCCAGGTATCTGCCTTAGAAAATGAATAGGTTGGAACAAAGTGGCTCTAATTACCCCTTTCTTCTGCTGCAGAAAGCAGATGTAATCACAGCTTAGCTTGCAGGGATCCCTTTAGATGCTGCTTCCAGGCAGGGAGGGAGCAGCGGCCACAGGCCCTTCACAAAGGCCCAATGACAGGTTTCCAGGCTGACCAGTCCGAGGGATGTGACAATTACACTGGGATATTTTTTCCGCTGCTCGCGGCCTGTTATTGTGTGCTGAGCACCCAGGGCAAGACCTGGGGCTGGTCCACACAGCCCAGGCTGGACGGCACCAGGCCAACCTTGCTAATTTGGGGCAGGAATGAGGCAGAAAACTGCACTGGTAACTGCGGGGAAAAGCCATGGCCAGGCAGCAGCACATGTGCTGGCCCAAACAGGGATCCAGGCCAGTGAAGGATGTGGAACCAGGCATCCACCTCCTTTATTTTGCTCCCTGAGCTCCTAAAGACTCTCTGGCAGCTGGTACCAAACGTGCTCCCACACCTGCCGAAGCACTGGGGCAGAGGGAAAAATCAGCCCTCAGAACAGTCACTCTTTAAAATATATAGGGATGGAGAAAACGAGAGGAAGGGATAGGAGCCCCGCACGCTCCTACAAGGTAGCGGGGAGCTCTCTCTCCAAGATGGAGAGCACGCAGAGGCCAGGCGCTCCGCTGAAGCCGCTGCAAACACTTGTGGGAGCTGCTCATGGAGCACAGCATCCTGCTGCCCTGGCCCTGCCAGCTGGATGAGCCGAGGGATTGCCAGGGCAGCGCAGCGCACTGGAAGAGCTCGCCGTAAATATTGTGGTCTGTTTAGGAGCTTGGGTGTTAATCACACACTCGAGAGCAGCTACTATTTGTTATTTGCAAGCAGCAGAACCAAGCTGAACCCACATTCCCCCCTTCCTCAGGAGAGGCAGGGACTTGCTCTATTTGGAGAGGGGAAGAGGCTACTCTGGTTTCAAAGCTTCTTGCACTAGGCCATGAGGTTGTTCAGCCCCTCTCTCAAAGCCCAGCACTCACCTCCCATGGCTCTCAGCCTCTTCTCTGTGCTCCTACCTCCTTCAACCAGCATTAATCTAGCCAAGGGGGCTTCTGCAGGCAGTTTTAAAGCCTTGCCATGCAATAAGTAGGTTATTTAGGGCAGCTGCAGTAGACTGAGCAGAGTAGATAAGCAAAAACTTGCTCTTTGCATAGTCCTTAGTGCAGTTTTCTTGGCCTTAGCTCATGTGTCCTCCTTGGCCTCACCCTATCCTGCTTTTTTACAACAAAGTTACACAAGCTATAGGTCTGTTAAAGTGCACTGGGGTTCTCCAGTTTGCTGTCTCAGGATACCTTGAAGCTTTTTTTCTCCCTGAAGAAAAGCCCCAGCTCCAAATGAAGCACAGAAGGGGCTGTAAGGTGAGTAAGAGCCAGGCTATTTCTGGCTCCTGTGTGGGTTTTTTCCACAGCTCCTGCATTTCCCTTGGAAAAGCTCAGGATGGAAAGATGGGCACATGTGTTGCTCATGTGTAGATGAGTCTGGAGTGTCTGGGCTGCCCGGGGGGAGGCCCCAAGGAGCTCCACTCATGCGTGTGGCCTGTTTGCCCTTCTCCCTAGCCCTGCTGCAATGAACAGCCTGGGATAGAGAGGATGTGGGCAGGGGACACGCGAGTGGCTAAAGTTGTGCCAGGGCAGCACCCACCTGCGGACCCCGGGCTGCTCAGACGCGTTTGGGCCTGATTTGGGGGTGAGAGGGGCACGTCCACAGGTGGGTGGTGGCCAGCAGGCTGAGAGGGGCCAATGCCGGGCAAGGTGCTGCGGGACCATGAGGCGCAGAGGAGCTGGGCGGGGGTTCCCTGCCTCCTTTTTGCCCTTCATAAAATGGGCAGCACTGCGTGACACGGGGCAGGAGCTAAGGGGAGTGCGGCCGCGGGGCCAGGCAGGGGTGGTGGTGGGACAGGTCTCCTCAGGTGACTCCGAGCTGCCATTTGCTGCGGCCGGGGGGTGGAGAAGGGAGATGGACTCGACAGCTGTGCGGGGGGAAAAACTTTCCACGCGAAGGGGATACGGCGCTATAAATATAACCGGGACCCCCTGCCCCGTCGCGGGGGCTCCCGCTGCGGCCCCTCGACGGGGAGGGAGGGTCGTGCTCTCCCTCCCGGGCCGAGGGGGCCCTCAGGGTCCCGGGGTAGGTCCTAGGGCTGGACCCCGCTCCCCAGCGCCGGGCGGCGGCCCCCAGCGCGGCCTCG